AAGCCTGTGTTTACAAGAAAGTGAGTGGGAGCTCTATAGCATTTCTCATATTATATGTGGATGACATACTATTGATGGGAAATGATATAGAACTTTTGGAAAGCATAAAGGCCTACTTGAATAAGTGTTTTTCAATGAAGGACCTTGGAGAAGCTACACAACGTCGACCTGGCCGTCCCCGCGCCTGTCAACACGGCCTACGGGGACCACTACCAGCCCGATCTCCTTGGGCGCGACGATGTCTCCGATTACATCTCGTTGGACTCGGAGTATGACTCTGGCTCCGACGACGACTCTGGCTACGCCGCCGACTCGTCTTGGACAACTGGCGAGCCGGACATATCGGTGGTTGTCATCTCTGACGACGAGACGGGGGAGCCGGAGGAGGCGGAGGAGGCGGAGGTCCAAATGGTGGCGCCAGTCCTCGACGCGAAGGAGGGTGATAAGAAGCGCCCGATCGATGTCGACCTACTTCCAGAGGTGGCAGAGAACAACAAGAAGAAGGAGGTTGGAGAGGTTGCAGTCATGGTCAAGCAGGAGGTGGAGGTGGTCCTGGCACTTGAAGCACACACAGAGGTGGCAAAGAACAAGAAGAAGAGGAAGATGCCTGAAGAAGGTGCAACTGAGGTTCGCCGGTCAGAGCGCCTGAAGAAGATCAACAACTGAAATGTGGGTTGAAGAACTGAAGAAGGTGGTTAGTTAGGTATGCTGAAAGTATACTATTTTCAGCATATAAGTTATAAGTAGAGATGTTTGGTTAGGTGTGCTTGTATAATGTGAGCACATAAGTTAATTATTACTGTCTGCTGGTATTCTTTTGGTAATGTGATGTTATGGCTACTGCTGAAGTTTATATTTGTGGACAAGTACTATGAAATGCATCTTCAGTTGTCAGTTACTATGTTGAGCAACTGTTGTTGTCATTGTTGCTGTCATCTTCATTTGTTGTCAGTTACTATGTTCAGCAATTGTTTCAGTGTTGTTGTCATTGTTAGGTATGCTGAATGTTGTCAGCTAACTGAGTGTTGATGTTTAACTGAATGTTGTCAAATTTCAGTTAAGCATTTTTGTCTTTTGTCAGCACCAAATAAACATCAACTAAATGAATTTTGCAGTTATTATCTATGTCATTCAATATTTAGTTAGTCATCTCCAACTGGAAATTTGTTATATATGCTATGTGGTTAGCTACTGCATAAACAAATTCACTTGAATACCAAAACCATCAAACTGGAAAACATCAGTTCAATCAAATTCATTAAGCATCTAGTACAACATGAGTACAACATGAGATTAGTTAAATCATTCAGCATGTAGTACAACATCTGCTCAATCAAAATCATCCAGTATCCCCTTAAGCTTCCTTATCTTCTCCTTGGTGTCCTCTTTGTGTTTGAACAAGTCACCAATCATGTATTCAGGCTTTCTCTTCTCTTGCTTTAATCTATCCCTCTCTCCTATGACTTGGTCCCTCTCCTACATCACTTGATCTCTCTCTTTTTCTGCCTTAGCCCTGAATACTTGATGAATGCTTGTTATTGTTTTGTCATTCATCTTCCTCTTCTCAAGCTCTTCCATAAGATCATCCATAGCAATTTGTGTGCTGCCTAATTGGCTAATTGTCTGCTCCTTCTCAGCCACCATATTAGCAAAATCAAGTTTGAAATTGCAAAGCTCCTTTTCCAACTTCTTCTTCTCTTCCATAATCTCCAAGTTTTCCTCAGCATTCAGAACATTTTGTCTCAGATTCTGTTTTGTCTCCTCTTCATACATGCTCCATATCCTAGCTAGGCTCATGTTCATAGCACCAGGCCACTCAGGGTCAACCCACTCCACATAGTTGCAGCTAGGTACTTCCTATGAATTTAAGACAAACATAAATTCAGTTAACTAATCAAGAAATTTAGTTAACTACTCAAAAAATTTAGTTAACTACACATAGCACTTTAACACATAGCACTTTATTGTCATACAAATTGACTACTGTAAAATAACTAAAATTTGAGCTTTTTAAACTTTTGACAGTGTGAATGAATTTGGCACAGGTTAGGAACCTCCTACTAGTATCAACTAATTCAAATGCCACAATCTTCCCACACGAAGTTCCATGCTAACATGTAAAACAAGGCAAATATGTGGCCAGGCCTCTCCATTCCTTACAGAAGATTGTGGCAGGAGCCTAAAATAAATTCAGATTGGATTCAGAATGAAGAAAGAAAACCCTAGCTGTTTGTAACCCTAGTAGGAGATGAGGAGCAGATGACCCTTGTAGGAGATGAGGAGGAGATGACCAACCTTGCTGGTAACCTAGTCGTCTCCAGAAGAGCTAGGGAGATCATCCCACGAGTCCATGACACCATGGTTGATGCTGGAGGAAGAAGAGAAGAAGGAGAACGAGTAGTGATGGATCTGGTGGTGGAAGAACAGAGAAGAGAGATACTTGTGGCTGGGGAGGAAGCAAAGGTGGATCTGGTGGTTGTGGACCAAAGGCAAACGTACAATGCAAGTTGTAGGGTACCAGTGTGCATGGGTGTAACTTCATTTAAGTTAACCCAATATTTGTTCAGTTAAGTTCAGTTACATTTCGGCCATATCAATCAAGCTCATTTAACTGAAACTTTTTTCATTTAAGTTCAGTTAAATGATTTGTTCTCCATATATTGATTTATCAACATCTTAAACATAAAATTTTGGCTATATTGTAATGCATGTTGGCTCAGAAAAGACAAAGACAAAGTTCAGCTCATAGAGCTCAGGGAAGACATAGTTAACTGATATTTTTCAGTTAAGTTCAGCTCAGAAAAGACAAAGTTAACTGAATATTGACAACAAATTGGAAGATTCAACATTGACACTGAAGCCTTCATATTACTTGATAGATACATATCCATTACAACCATACAACCAAAATAACATCATGTCCATTAAAACCATAGATACATATTCAGCTGAGGCACCCACTAATTTATCAACATCTCACTTCTTCATAATGAAGATGAAAGACATCACACAAAGCACCACAACACTAGCCATAAGAAGCTTTAGCACTAGCAGGATCTCTCTACCTAATCCAAGAAGCATAGCAACTTGCTGCTTGGTAGCAAGGTTTTTCTCACTAGGGCTGTCAAAATTCACCCTGCCTGTAATGCCTCTTCCAGCCAAGGCCCTTCCAGCTAATTTTCTTCCTGCCATCCACTTAGTCCCCTTCCTCTCAAGCTCTTCCCTCATGTCCTCAGCTGCACCAATTGCATCTACAGCAGCATTACCAACAAGAACCCTAGTTTCAACCAGATGCTGCACATGTTCCATCTCCCAGCGCCAGAAATCATAGATGACCTACAGCCAAAGCAATCAAATGTGTGAAAATGACTGAAAAAGTTCAGTTAACATGAAAAAATGTTCAGTTAACCAGGCAAGTACTCTCTGTATTTGTTGTGGAAATGTCTAAACTTTCAGTGTTTGAACCTGTCTAAATGTTCAGTTAACTACTAAAATTATCTATATCTGTCTAAATGTTCAGTTAACTACTAAAATTATCTATACAGAGTGTCTGGACCTGTCTAAAATTCAGTTAACCAGGGCAGTTAACTACTAAAATTCAGTCTAAGCACATCATGGCTACTGAACATTCAGTTAACCTGTTAACTTCTAAGCACACATCATGGCTACTGAGCACAGCATGGCTACTGAACATGGCAGATTCATGAATCGAACAGAGAAGGACTGAAGCTTACATTGTCGTGGTTGCACTTGTAGAAAACCCAGCCATCATGCTCATCGGTGCTAGAGTGGTAGCACTTGACAGGTTCGGCACAATCGGGGCATCCCACCAATGGCACCTCAACAGAGCGGCCACGCAGACCGAAGCGGGAGGATCTCGCAGATGACATGCCGTCGGCGAGAGGTGGCAGCAAATCCAGGCGGTGGTGGCTGCGGCGACGGCGGCGGAGGCGGCGACAACTACTAGAGTTCGAGACAGGAGAGGAGAGGGGAGAGGTGTCGTGCGGTAGGCCCGACCAGGTGTGGTGTGCTGCGCTCGGTCCGACCAGGTGACGCTC